CCAATCCCATTCTCTCTCTTTTGATCTTACTACTTTTTCCTGCAATCTTTGTCATGTCTTAATTATTTAGTTACTGGAGAGTATGATTACCCACTAAGGAGCATTGTTATTGCTCGCTGGCTCTTTTTTCCTTTATCGCAATCTAACTTTTATTAGCGAAAAAATTATTAAATTAGTTAGTGGGGAGTATGATTACCAAGTAAGGAGCATCATTATTGCTCGCTGGTTCTTTTTTCCTTTATCGCAATCTAACTTTTATTAGCGAAAAAATTATTAAATTAGTTACTGCAGAGTATGATTACCCACTAAGAAGCATTGTTATTGCTCGCCGGTTCTTTTTTCCTTTATCGCAATCTAACTTTCATTAGCGAAAAAAATTATTAAATTAGTTAGTGGAGAGTATGATTGCCGACCAAGGAGAATCATTATTGTTCGCCGGTTCTTTTTTCCTTTATCGCAATCTAACTTTTATTAGCAAACTTGACCAAAAAAAAAACTTTTATTAGCAAAAAACTACTATATTAGTTAGTGGAGAGTATGATTACCAAGTAAGGAGCATCATTATTGCTCGCTAGTTCTTTTTTCTCATTTTTTTTATTAATATAAAAGCAAGTCAAGTCAAGAATCACTTTTCCATAATGCTGTGGAAATAACGCTTGCGACAATTACCCTTGTCGTGCAACATGCCTCACAGCAGTTTGATTAGCATGAAGAGTCTTGGACCATTGGATGGCAATGGACATGTATTGCTTGTTGGTAATGAAATGTCGAAGGCTTAGAATTGGTGGCGAATGCAGCAGTGATAAACACTATTTATCTTGATTTATCAGATATGAGATATTTCTGTTAATATTACCATTTGTCAAATATAAGTCAAATATGACATATTATATCATTACAGTACAGGAATCACAACTTGGCTAAACTCTTTCAAGACTTCATCATAATATTCAATATAATCTACATATAAATAAAAAAAATTTTAAACATTTATTCTTTAAGTATTCGAAATCATGGAATATAATTTTTTAAATATTGAAGTATGACAAATCAACTTGTTATAATGAGTATGAGTCCGTACTAACTTTCAATCATAAGAGTCATCAAATATTATCTATTTGTTCGAAATATACACAATCTCATAATAAATTTTCTCTTGAACACATATTTCTTTTTCCTCTTATCTGTAAGGATGGTTTACTTTATTATATTCATTTTATTTGTAAAGTGTATTATATAATCTCTCTTTTTCCCCATTCCACAGAAGCCACTATTGACACCTAATTTTCTGACGATAAGCATATATTTTAGTAAAAAAAGAAATAAATAATTGTAAATAGAACAAAAAATAATAATAAATAAATAAAAGAGAATAAAAATAAGGAGAGAGGGAGCGAGTCCAATTCGGCTTAGTTCGGTCCCATAACCTAAGCATTTCTGTCCGGCTCGACCCATTAAACCATGTCCATCTCACACCCGGCCCATATCCACAAGCTTAAGCCTCACTTCCACCATTCGTCCTCTCCAAAACAACACCCGCTCTCTTCATTTGCTTCTTCAGCGACGCCCTACGATACAGAGCTCACACACATGAACCACTACGTACGACTCTCTTCCCACATGCTATTCCTCTCTTTTCCACAAGTGCTCTGCAAATCGAATTTGATTTCATCGGAGTTGAGAAGGAAGAGAGGGATTTGGTTCTTCCGATCCGGTCTTCCACGAAAAATGGATCGTGTTAAGTTTCATCGGTACATGTGCATGCTTAACATGACTACTTAGGTAGGTGCTCGTTGGGTGTTTGCCATTCTGAGATACAGGCTCATGGAATGCAATGGTTTCTGGGTATTGTTAGAATGAATGGGTACGTTGCTGAAGCACTTGATATTTTGTCTGCTATAAAGTCGCAGGAAATGGAGATGGATTCTGCAATTCTATATAATCCGCTAACCATTTTTGCTCGATCTGATGGTGGATCAAGTGGAACAATAATTCATCTATGCATCATTAAGCATGGGCTAAAATTCGATTTGTCTGCAAATAATGCTCTAACGGACATGCATGCTGAGTTCAGTAACTTAGGAGATGCCTGACAAATATTTGAGGGTGTGGTGGTAAAAGATGTAGTCTGGTGGAACTCAATCACTGCCACATATAAACAGAACAATGATCCGATTGCTGCATGTTTGTTATTTGAAGAGACATGGTCAACTGGATTAAAGCTTGATCTGCTGACAGTAATAAGTTTAGTTTCAAGTTTTACTCTGGTAAATGATTCGCCAACATAACAAGTCTCTTCATTACTACACTCGGAGAAAGAGTTGGCTTTTGGAGGATGCAGTATTAGAACTATCTTTTCAAGTCCTTATATGTAGATGTATGGCCGAGGATTCTCGAAGTAGACCTTCTGGAATTAACTCTGCGGAATGAGTGCCTCGATGGCCTCGATTGTCCTCCTCGCCTCGCTGCCAAGGTGATAACACGCCTTGAGGTTGGAAAGCCACCCGCAGGAGCAAGTTTTCTGGGCTCTTTCGTTGTGTTCTGGCATGTCGCGCACCTTATGCGAGGATCTCCGCGTCTGTCTCCCATTTCTGGACGTCGGCTTCGATCAGCTTCATGCTATTTTGAGTTTCATAGATGGAATACTGCGCCTTTTGCCTCGCGTTATCCGGCTTCGCAGCTTCCACCTTAAGGTTGCGAACAAAGCTATTGGAAAAATATCATGCCGCCGCATACACAACCAACCGAAGCCAATCTCCCCCCTTTTGACTTCTATCTTTCTGGTTTTCTTTCCATTTTCTCTTTTTTGTGGAGAGATGAAAGTTAAGTATGCATATATGCCTGCATTCGACGATGCTTAACCTTTGGGCTTCTGGCAATAGGCGTAAATCGACAACGAAGTCTAGACTGAGGAAGAAGCCATTTCGCGTTACACCTTCCAGGTCGACAATTGAGTAGTTAATTTTGATAAGAAAAAAAAAAGGCCAAACACCTCGCCAAAGAATTAAGACTGTTGTCTCGGCATTTTTCAGGCACTAATAATGCGGCAAGTTCCTCTGCCCCATTGCAGAGGATGAAGACGTTGTCTTGTTCATCCAATTTGTTTCTTTATGCAAAACCCTCTACAGCTCATCTCTACTTCTTCATTCTTATTATAGCTTGATGGGCCTGAGCAAAGGCGATGCTATATGATGCCGAGTGCAAAATTTAATTTGAGTTGAGAAGAAGAAGAAGAAGAAATTAAGTACTTAAATGACAAACACTAGTTCCAAAAGTACAAAGCTCACTTATATATTATCAGTAGCCAATCACTGATATAATTACATCGATTCAAAATTATCAACGTCCATTTCTCATGAAAAACAACACAATTAATCATCTAAGCTACTCTGAAAAGTATTAAAATATGCTAATGCGTAAATGCAATTAGGAGGCAATGGAAAATTGACCAAATTTCGCATTTTCAAAAGTCATATTCTACCATCAAACAATGGAAACTTTACCGGTAAGTTCGAGATCTTATTATAAATGGAGGACAATACACCAACCTAAGCTACCTTAGTGGGAAACTATTGATCAATCAGCACACTTGGTCATACAAACTATGTTTGAGCATTTATCGACCCATTCTAATTTCAATGATATAATCTACCGTGACAACAGAGATTTATAATACAGTACTAGAATTTTTCTATCCAAGAATATACTACCATAAAGTAAGTTTTCAACCTTGATAGTAAATTTACTGATATTACTAACGTTTTTTTGAATAACATTGACTAATGCCCATTGTTGTCGACGGGGACATCAATATTCGAAAGGGAATATGTACATCTCGAATTTCACATCAAATGGAAGATGTTATTTTTCTTTTGAGAGCATGACTCGTATAAAATCGGATCGGGTCATTCCATAGATTATAAACGCGATTTAGGAATTGGATGAAAAGGAGAGGAACCTTCGTTGAGGAAGAATAAGTGCGAGGGAAGTGAAGAGAATGGTAGAGAAAATTTTCCTCTTAAAAAGTGGGAGAAAAATAGAGAGAAATGCAAAATGAGTTCCTTTTGCCCCTTAGACAGGCTCTTTGGTCACTGTATAAGAGTTGCAAAAATTGGTTGGACCAGCCAAAACTCGATACAAGTTCGAGTAGGATGCTCAGGCTTTATTCGGTAACCATTTGTCACATAAAGTCGAGTTCGAGAGATTGAATTCATGATTATGCAAACCATCGAACGTAGAGCGTGTTAAATTTTTTTGATTCCTCTAAATCAGATCAATCGTGTATCAAAAAACGATAAAATTATATGGCACCTCATCAAGAAGATTAGTTTATTCAAAACATTCGGTAAATGAGTTCATCCGGTATTTTCACGACACGATTTTCTCTCTTTGAAAAATAAAAAAACGGACTTCCAGGGCTAGTTTCGTCCATGTAAAAAATACTGCCGTTTCGTTGGCGGTAGCAATTAGTTTTTGATGAAACGGAGCAACACGACGAGATTCGAGGAAAAACTATAAGCATGTTCTCTCTCTTTCGATCTTACTATTTTTGGACCCTTTGTCACGTCTTAATCCTATGTTCTGTATCTCATCTTTATTTGTTCCTCTTGTTAATATCATTTTGCTAGTTTAATATTCTATCATTATCATTCTACTTCGTAATAAAATATATGTGTTCTTCCGCTTTGAGTTCTTGCTTTATTCATTGGTTCATCTATTGTGTCGATTATGATTAAATTTCTTCAATGCTTTAAATTGTCGTTTTGATTATTGTTTCTTCCATTCCTTTGATTCAATTTTCTCGGTATTTTTAACCTCTCTACAAGATTGCTGCTAAAAGTACCTCTCATTTCAAGCCACATTGAATTTCAGTCTACAGTTTTCATCACTATTTTAATTCAATTTCTCAAAGCATTCTGTTAAATTTCGTTATATTACTAATTTGTATTTTCCCATCATTAGATTGGACCAATCAATTTAATTTTTGTGATGAAACTTCATTAATCAATATATTAATATTTCGAATAGAAAATCTGTTCAAATCAATTTCATGAGTTCTCTTATTGTTATATTATTACTCCGATCAAAGGATTTTGCACCCTTTTGTTATCAGCTCTATCTACTTCCCCTCCATTAATTCCTCATTTATATGCCTTCAGTCAATTTCATGGATTTTCTCTCTTTCCCTCCCTCTCTACTGCAAGGAAAGGTTGAAAATATCAATATTTGCTTTAAAACTAAACGAAGTTACACGCTGTTTTTTAGAAGTTATACACGTCTAAATAAGAGAGGAAAGGTTGAAAATATTTATGCTGACGGAAAACAAAATGTGATAATAGTAAGGTTGGGGATCTTTTGTCAAACAAGGATTTGTAATGACAAATAATTTGGCACAAGTATGCCAAAATGAATCAGCATGGACATCCAAATTTCTAGAACCAAAATTATCCTCGCGCTAACAAGTATAGTCAGGCAACTTTGGACTGTCCATGTTGATTGATCCAGTGAAGACAATGGTGAAAATTTTTTTTCCCGTTGGTGCACGAAATATATCCTCTTAGACGTGGGAGGACACGGAGGGAAATAAGAGGAACCAAGGCAGGCGGACCAGCTTCATATTAATGCGACCTGTATTCGTCCAAAGCCATGATTTGAAAATTTCATTTTTCTTCCTAACATCATATTGTTTGGTTAACATCCCATCATTATTACTTTGCTTCGAAGTAGAATATTTGTGTTCTTCCACTCTTAACGGAGGGAAAACTCTGCAATAGAGAACAGAGGATACCGAGAGGGAGATTAGCTCAGAACTCCTTTGCAGTGAGTTATCTCTTTTTTACGATGGAGTGATTGCACTTCAATATCTGAAAATCGTTCTCTTCTTCGAAGTTGTAGCGCAATGACATATCCATTGACTCGGCATAGCGATCCAAAGCGTACTGCCTAAGGCAGAACAAAACAGAACAAAAGAGATCAACAAATCTAGAATGAATTGAAGTGGATTCTGGAATTAGATGAGAGAAGACACAACAACCTGGTAGGCGTGGCTGATATCAACAGAACACCGACACAGACCACCGACGAACTTTGAATCGGCGGTGAGGTATTTTTGGTTAGAGCGAAGATGGAGAATCTCGGAGCTTCGTAGTTAGCTCTGTTTCTTCCATCGGATCGACCGTAAATTGAAGGAAACTAAGTTGTCTTCTAGTGCTGCAGCATAAAACCAGACATATCAGTGAAAAGAAAAAAAGAAAAGAACAGAGAATCGAATTAGATAAAGATGAGATTACAAACTAGGTGAGGAAAGAGACTGAAGATCCTCCGTGGCCGTAGCTGCTGGACTTCGCTAAAGCGAAGGTACCGATCGCTAATGAAGAAAAGATCCGCGGCTGGAATGGCTGAGCAGATGAGGTGTCGCGGTGGCAAGAGGATCGCTGGAATTAGAAATGATGGAAGCAAACACTGAAAATCATAAGAACGAGACCGAGGACAACGATTCCAAGCCCAATTCAAAGATTAAAACTAGAGAAAGAAAATGCACTCAGCTTCGGCCATGGTTGAACCCATCGCTTTTCCCTTTCTTCGAACTTGTTCAGCCGAGTGAAGAGATAGAGCGAGAGAGAGAGAGATTTAGCAAAGAGAATATTGCGGAGAGAGAGAGAGAATCGGTCAACCAAGAGAGAGAATAATGGGTGTGAGTTCTCCGATAGAGAGGGAATTCATTCAGCGAGAGTTTTTTTCTGGAGAGCCCCTCGAGCGATTGAACGATTAATCAGGAACGGATAATCTGGTCGCGGAGGAGTTTGAACGATTCCGGTAGATTGAACGATTCCTAAGGGGGAGATGTTAGTCAGTTGAGTAAAAGTCTGCAACTATCTCGGGAGGTCTATCGCTGACAATAATCTCCGTCTCTTCTCCATCTATAAATAGAGGAACAGGGGAAGGCTTGAGCTTTCACGGAGGAGAAAGAAAAAGCAGAGAGAGTGAGAGAGAGAGAGAGAGAGAAAGCAAGAAGTAATACTCCCCGGGTTTTGTCATGCTATTACCTTGACCACATTGTGCAGTCCCCGCAATAGTGTTGCTCGACCTTTTTGACGTTGGTCGTCTCGCCTACACATCCAGACGAGTTGCTTGCTGCCTTCCCCGACGCCGGCTCGACGCCACAGCACACTCAAATTCCCCAACGCCGGCTCAACATCCAGACAAGGAGGCGCTTCTCCGGCGATGCTCGGAGCCTAAAATTCTCCTGGTAGTAGTCACTGGCACAGCCGGGCGCATCAGGACTAGATCCGACTGCCGAAGGCGAGATTGGATGCAGGTTCAAGAACAGAAATGCAAAGGAGAGGGTTGCGGCTCGAGCCGCCACCGGCGATACCGCCATTGGGCCGTCGGAGAGAGAAGAGAAGCTGGCAAGATACTATACACAAGAGCCTCATGGTGGTGGCCATATTGCTGGCCACCATGGCTTTTCAAGTGGCCAAATTGCGGGTACCTCCATCATGGCCCACAAATTAGTGCTAGCATAGGCCGCATTGATGGCGCTTCTTTTGGTGGGTCAGATTTTGTTTGCCATCTGGAAATTTTTACAAAGAGTTAATTTCATTCTGAAATTATTACGAGTTGCTGGCCACCATGACTTTTCAAGTGGCCAAACTGCGGGTACCTCCGTCATGGCCCACAAATTAGTGCTGGCATAGGCCGCATTAATGGTGCTTCTTTTGGTGAGTCAGATTTTGTTTGCCATCTGGAAAATTTTTACAAAGAGTTAATTTCATTATGAAATTATTACGAGTCTCAAGCCTTGTATACGAATTCCCAAAGTTAATTTCATTCCGTTTTGTATATTTTGTGTTTTTCTTTTGTTCCCAAGACCCAAATCTTGATTGATCCTTTCATGCATCAGTCACTTGTGTGGACTTAAACGTGGCTTTCCATAGACTTACGTTCAGGCTGTTTGTTGAAGCAAGGTATAACTCAAACTCTTCACGATCAAGAATTGCAATAAATAAAGAATGTCTCCCTCATCAATTGAGATCGAGTCGAGTCGAATAATTGAGAATAGATCCCAAACTTGACTCGCTTTGCTTTACACAATTAAGGAATTCAATTGGAGATTTTTACCTTTGAAATCTTGTGGAAAAAATTGAGTGCACATGTATTTTCTAGAATTGAAAATTTTTACGGGAACTTCTGTTGAAAATTGTCGTACAGTCGCCCTTTAACCAATCAACTCCATAAGTACCTTATCTCCTCAATGAGCATCACGGTATGAAGAGAATATCAATGCATCTTCTCTTAATGTACTAGAGGAATTTTCTGAGACTCCTAGATGACGAGTTCTTTGGTTGCTGTAAGAAGAGAACCAAAGCTTGACCGGGATTAGCTTTAACAAAAAGATGGATCGAACTCCGGTGACTGCTGAATATTCACAAGTGTGTAAGTCAATCTGGAGGATGGAGTAACAACACAAATAAGATCTTGAGTAATCATGCCTCGAATCTAAACTTCAACGAAACCAGTTTTCAGTACCATAACAATGCACGGATTACATCCTAATTCTTTCTTTCACATGGGAAAACCAATATATAATGTGAGATTATGTTAGAATTTAGATAAGTAATAAAGTAGAAGATATATTCTCCAACCCTTCCCGGAGTTATAAAGAATAAGAAGAAGGGCTCGGCTCCCTCGTATATTAAGTGTGGCAACTAAAAAAATTCCAAAACTTGGTAGTATAAAACCATGATCACAATGACAGTTATCATTTGGGAAACGAAGAATTCTTTTATAAGGAAAAAATCAAGAGATTTCACTTTAAATCAAATCTGTTTTATTCCAAGAAAACTAAGTGGTACTTATCTTTAAACCCCAAAAGGTTGCTCAAGTGGTAAGTGTGTTTATCTTCCTCGCTCAAAACTTGAGATCGAATCACTGCACTTGCACATTCTCCTACGGCCTCACAGGAGCACACACTTGCGAGTCTCCGCTAATTACCCGATGTGTGTGGGATGAAGGGACCATCACACCGGATGGAGATTAGTTGGATGGTCAAAGTTTTAGACACTCCATTGATATTAAATGACATCTATCTATTAATCTTGTGACGATGCATAGGTTTGAATTACATATATAATCGAATTAGAAGAAACTGAAGATTCATAGGAGATGCCTTTTCTTATTTTTTTCTTTATAAAAAGTGTTAATCGTAATCATTCTTATTTCTCATAACCTCACCTTAATAGTTCTTAAAAAAACTTAATTTCATCGATTGATTGCACCTCATTAACGAGACCAGTTAATATAAGTGTATATGTATGTAAGTATATGTTTGGTAATGGGATTATACATAACATATACTTACATACATATACATTGTAGATGCCAGATGGTCGTTCGACTCCATATACGTGAACACTAGTATTATTCGAGTAAAGAATATCTTTTTATTCAAGTATCTAATACCTCGTAAAATAGAAATTAAAAAAGGAATTGCTGAAAAAGCCTGAAAGCATCATGTTTATGTGTGCATGACCATACACAATTATATATTTAGTCCCAAATTTGTACACATTGTTTTACGACTAACATCAGTAAATATTCTTAAAAAAGCAACCCTCTTAATTAGGTCAATCATCCAAAACAAAAACAGTTTTACTTGATGGCAAAATATAGTTACACATCTACGCCAAAACTTAAATGACCTGACATAATCAAATAGTCATCATACACGTATAAATATCGTAGTGCTGCAATGGAAGCTGTTTTTCTATCGATGATGGATATAATAATAAAAAATTAGTTAAAAAGGTGTATCCGCGATATACAAATTTTATACTGAAAAATAGATAATATAGGATAAAAAATTGAAAGATATTGATCAATGAAAGAAATTAAAAGAACCGTCTCTCTTGTATAGAACATCTCTATGCACCGATGTAGAGGATGAAGACATTGTCTTGTTCGTCTACTTGGTTTCTTTATGCATACCACTTCGGTTCATCTCTACTTCTTCATTCTTATTATAGCTTGATGGGCATGAGCGAAAGACGATGCTTTAATGCCGAGTGCAAAAACATTAATCGATATATATATTTTCAGTTAAGATATTGAGATGTATAGAGTTCGTAAAATGACGAAAATAACACTGGAATGTCAAGAGACCGTGTTTTCTGGGAAGAATTCATCATTGATACTGGAAAATCCTAGTAAGAGTTGAATTTTCTTGTCCAGTGGAAGGGCACAGCCAAGCTGTACTTGTAACTAGTAATCGTACTTTTACTTATTTATATAATATACAACCTCCAACCATATGCTATATGGATAATTATTGTCCTTCTTGTTTAGGAGATTGAAATATATGGAAATTATTATGTGGGTTTTCACCTCATTTCAACTCTCCCTTAGAAGAAATTACTCGTTTTTCTAAACTATGTTATTAGTTATTTGTGGACTGTACATGAGCAATCTACCAATGAAAGAATTATGCTAGGTTCAAATAGCATCCGAGAAAGCTATGCATTGATTGTGTTAAGATATGAAATTTTTTTGATATCTTTTTTTCTGAATTTCAAATTAGCTTTTATAGATTGAACTGTCCATGTTGATTGATTCATTGAAGAGAATGGTAGAAAAAAAATTTCCCATGGGCGCAATAAATAAATCCTCTTAGACGTGGGAGGAAACGGAGGGAAATAAGAGGGACCCAAGGCTGTTGGACCAGCTTCACGTTAATGCGACCTGTATTCGTCCTAGGCCATGATTTGAGAATTTCATCGTCCTCTCCGTCATCTCAATCCACTAACAGCCACTGCCAAACCTCCGTCTTGGTGATTTCAATTGAGTCCCTTCCTCTCGCTTCGTTGCTGATCGTCAACGCTTCCCGATTGCCAATAGTTTCGCCGCCGCAGAGAAGGTCTGAAATGCCGAAGTACTCGAACTTCGATCATGACTGCCTGCTTCAACGATTCCATTCCTTGACGTTGCTTCTGTTATCTCCTTACTCATATGCGATGTCAATCGCTATAGCTAATCATTTCTTTATTCAGCTAAACCACAAGTGCTCTGTTTTCCGTTGCTTTATATACAAAATAGAGGCCTGGAGCTATTGCTACTGTCTGTGTAAAAATCGGCTGTGATTGAGGCTGTATTAATGATTTGAACTTGCCCCATTGCCTTTGTGATGATTTGGATGTGAATCGTTGCTTTACTTTTGCATCTAAGCTCCTTGGCCGAATGAATACCACATGTTTTATGTAATTCCTGAACTAGATCACTGTGTATCTTGATTTAGTTCTTGACCGAGAATTTCATTCGTTACCAGATTGTTGATCTATTCTGGTCATATAAGCCTATTTGAGTTTTGTTTCTTCATCGAAAATCATAAGTATTCAATTTCGAACTTGTTTTGAATCTGCTAGAACCATGTCAATATATTTTAATTCGCAACTGTTGCAGCCCTCCCTTCATTTGATGCTATCCCACTCAACTAAGCATGTGCGGTAATATAAGATTGTGTTATGGTGAATTTCATGTTCGCTTGGAGAAGAAATTATGTCATGAATGATTCAAATTCTACTGGAAATCCTTGGATGCTGACTGCGTCTTGATATCACTGATTTGACTATGCTTGAATTGGTGACTATTGTCGACTATGGCTTGATCCCTAAATTCCCACTTTCTGAAAAGGTATATTTTTTCTTCGACCGAAAAAAAAAGGTATATTTTTCATTCTAACGTCCAAATGTGAACTTCATCATCCAACCCATACATAGCAATTCCATATAACATCCAATCCATTTTTTGAGTATGCGCTACATTTAATATATGCCACGCATTCATTTAACATAAGTAGAACTCATGCGTCAGTAAATCATGGATGAAGAAGAGAGGACCATTATGGCCAAAAAGGATTCAAGGCGGCTGGGTCATTAACCTTAATTTCATTTGCATCTC